TATGATAGATGTATGTGTGTTTGTGTGCAATAAGAATGTATGTATGTAGGATGTCTTAATTTTTATGACTTAATTAGGCAAGCCTCAAAATTACAATGCTATAATTAAAAAAAAAAAAAGTAGGATGTTATAAATTGTAATGTCATTTAATGCTATAATTAAAAAATAAAAAGTAGGATGATATAATTCATTTCGTCATGTAAAGTATAATGTATAATTGAAACTTTATTTGGATTCCTAGTTTGTGTGCATTTGTAATAGAAATTGTATCTGTATATCTTATAATTTTACAGGAAATGATGTCGATCTGACTCTTGTTTTTGTACACCATGGCTGATGTTATGGGTCATGGACATAGCGGTGATGGAGTTGAGGACCCACCTTTCCCAAGTGGTACAGGTGCTGGTCATCATGAGCAGGATGGTAAGTCTTATTATGATTTTTTTACTATTTTTATTCAGATAATATAAAATATTGTTTCTAATAATTTTTAATTATATTTGTAGTTGTGCTACACAGGAGAGCACGAGGCAAAGCAAAAAACCTTAAGCTTAAAAGAGCGTTCTTACAGAATAAAGGCAAACCGATTAACATGGAGTATAATAGGGATATGATATATGATCTCGTAGGAGAGCTGAAGAACATGTTTGCATGCGAAGTTGGAAAAATAATGTGGTGGATGGTCCCTTTTGATAAATGGACTTGGAAAAAAAAAATTCCCTCACAATAAAGGATATAATAAAACAACATTTAGGGGTAAATTATTTATATAAGAATAATTTATATGGTTAATTATGATTGGTTTTTACTTGGCTAACTTTTTCTGTTTTGTAGACATAGTTTAATTTGGATGGGATATCCCAGGATCCAAGTGTTGCTATGTTGTTAGAGAGTTTTTTAAGCGACTTTGTTAAAAGGTTATTGAGAGCGTCAAGCTGATGCAAAAGAACACTTTTTGCAAGTCGGAGGGTATGAGGACATCCCAAGAGCATTAGCCAACCCCCACATGATATGGAGGTTGATAATTGGAGAAAAACAATTGAGTATTTTCAAACGGCTGAACACATAGCTACTTTAGAAAGGAACAAAAAAGTCTGTCAAATGCAAACGACCGTAAACCATGGGGGTCGAGATTGTATAGTAGTACTTGTTATAAGAAGGTAACGTACGATATTTTTCATTATTTTTTTTAAAATATAATCTAATTTTTAATGTTAAACAGAACCTAAAGATAGTGGAAACGTTTTGCAAGGCTCATGTCGATAGGAATGGTGTATTTGTTAGTGTCGAGGCAGAACACTAATACGTAAGTATTAAATTATAATTTGATCATATAATTAAGTGTTTATTTATTCTTAATTGTTAATCACTTTTGGTAAACACAAAATCGGTTAGTGGATAGCTCTTAGAACAAACGCAAGGGCCAGAAGGTGAAAAAGAGTTAACACCGCTCAAGAAAGTGCTACATTCAAGAGTGTACTAGGTAAACGACGTGGCCATATCAGAGGCACTGGGCGAAAAACTTATGTTATCCTGCCGATTGCACAACCACCACACCCATAACTATAACACTTGCTTTCTAATCGCTTCATCATTCGGGACCGTTACCCGATCATTAGTTATCTTAAGGTTTCGGGCCTTGAGGGAAGAGAGGAGTAGCCCTTTTTGGATGTTGGTATTATAGATTAAGTGATTCGAGTGTTCGATTGTGTTTTGGAGCCCAAGGGTATATAACCGTAATTTGGCAGTTTGGGCCATTATGAAGTTTTGTGTTTTTGTTCAGAAGGTCTTTAGGCGAAGGTGAGTTTATAGAAGTGTAGGGCTTCTTGTCACCTTTCCGTGGATATAAAGTTCCTCGGAAACGGACTTAGAAAGAAAGAGTTATGGCTAAATGAAGTTCAAGTGTTTTGCAGCTTGGTCGAGTACGTGGGGCGTACTCACCAAGTATGTGGGCGTAGTGGGTAAATAGATCGCTATCTTCTTTTGAGTATGCGAAGCGTACTAAGGGTACGCAGGGAGTACTCCTTTTAACAAGAAACCCTAATTTCTAGAGTTTTACCCCTATTTAAGCCCCATTTATTCTTGTTTCTTGTTCTTATCAGCCTCCATGCCTCCTAAACCCTAATATTGGACCCCTAGCCACCATCTTGGAGTTCTTAAGCTTTTATGAGGAATCTTGAAGTGTTTTTGTGCATCTTAAAGAGATTGGAGCTTGTTGAAGTATCATCACTTGGAGTGGGGCTTGTAGATCCAAAAGTTTCCCATCTTTTTCAACCAATTGAAGGTAAAAAAAAAACTTTAATCTTGTTATCTCTTTTGAGTGGATCTAGTTTGCGGTGGTTGTGGCACATTTTGGTCTCTTTGGGTTGTTTTTATGTGAATGGTTTGCCCCAAGAGTTTAGTCCCTAGATATGGATGTTTTAGGTGTCCCAAATGCATAAAAATGCAATCTTGATGGATAATATCAACCTATGCATGTGTATTAGCCTCTTTGATGAAGTTGCAAAGTAAGAACTTGGATTTGGGACGAATTAAGCCATGCAAAAGCTCAAATTTAACAACTTTATGGATTAAGACATGTTTTGGAACTAGATCTGAGCATTAGACGTTTTGGCTTAAGGGATTAAGGCATTTTCTAAGTTGGTTGTGGGCAAGGTGAGTACGCGGGGCATACCTCCTAGTACGTGACGTGTACTGAGTATAATGGGCGTAGGCTAAGCGTCCAACTGAGTATGCGGGGCTTATGGTGTCAATTTGGATATTTGGGCTTTGGATTTTAGCAAAATAAGGAAAATGGTAAAATGGTCTTTTACCCTAAAAGGTTTGGTTATTAGACTAGAATTCTTGTTTGGGTCGAGAATCAATTATTGATTGAATATTATTTAATGATGTCAGTGCAAGGTTTCTGGTAATAGCATTTCGAGTTTTCAGTTATCTTGGTTTGAGGTGAGTCTTCTCACCATATCCATGGGTCGAAGGCATCCATGCCAGCCCATTACTTGTTATATAGAATGCTAGTTGTCTTTGTGATACTTTATTGGAAGACCTCGAGGGTAACCCGTGGCATTTATATGGAAGACCATGGGGGTAGTCCATGGCACTTGGATGTCAGACCATGGGGGAAGCCCACACCATTTTAAGGAAAGACCATGGGGGTAGTCCATGACACTTGGATATCAGACCATGGGGGTAGCCCATGACATTTCAGGGAAAAGACCACGGGGGTAGCCCATGGAAAATGTATGTATGATATGTGGTATTTTAGGGACTCACTAAGCTTTCTTTTTACAGTTTGTTGTTCATGGTTTCAGGTGCTCCTGATTCGAAAGGGTGGACTCAACTTGATCGCAACACATACACCCATGTTTTTCCGCAACTTGTGATTTTGGGATTGTACGCTGATAAATATTTTATTATGAAATACTTCTAAATGGTTGAAAAAAAAAAGATAAATGGGTGTTTTGATTATATTAAAAATGAAAATTTTACATTGTGGTTTTTGGGACGTTACAACCACCACAGTCATCACAACCATCATAGGTAAAACAAGATTATTTAATTTCAATCAATGCATGTTGATTTGGTAATTTTGGTTTGTGGTGATTATTTTCTAAAAGCTTTGGTAATTGGTTTTTTGTCCTAAGTGCAAGAAATAAAAATGTACTTTCGTTTTTTGTCTTAGTTTGAAAATAGCAATGTACTTTGGCATCAATAAATGCATGTTGATTTGGTAATTGTGGTTTTGTCCCAAGTGCAAGAAATATCAATATACTTTTGGTATTTCTTGTATTTAAGTGCAAGAAATAACAATGTACTTTGGTATTTCTTGTATCTATGGTTCCTTAGCACAAAAAGAGTAGATTATTTAATTTCAAAGTCTCATGTATCTATATAATGATTAATAAATGCATGTTGATTTGGTAATTATTTTTGTAATTGTGTTTATGTTTTAAGTGCAAGAAATAGCAATGTACTTTGGTTTTTTGTCCATAGTTTAAAAATAACAATGTACTTTTGTAGTTTTTTGTTTACGTTTGATAATTTAACTTATATATATATATATATATATATATATATATATATATATATATATATATATATATATATATATATATATATATATATATATATATATATATATATTGTTATTTATTATGTAGCTGGAAAATCTCCGGGCAATGCTCAACGACCCAGCATGTAAGGATGAGCTTTATCCATTTTTTCAATCGGGGAAAGATCAAGGACGAAACGATGAGAACGGAGGTGATGGTTCGTCGGATAATTAGTTTTTATTTTGTATGTTAGACTTGTCGTGACACTTTGATATTAGCTTGTTGTAATTATAAAACTTTGGTTGTTTATTTTGGTATGAAATTAATTATATATGATGTCGTTACACTATTTCGTAGTAATCCGATATTATGCAACTTTTTTTAAGTATTTAATGTCGTTATATATCGGTTTTTTGGCACCAAAACCGTTGATTAAAAAAATTATTAATAAAAAAATGTTATTACTTGCGATACTATAAGCGGCGACAGTAGTATTACCGGCGACATGTTAATCAATAGTGACAGAGCAGTAGCAGCGATTTTGACCGGCGATATTTCTACTCTTTACCGGCGACTTTTTTCGCCGCAAATTCCCGGTTTTTCTTGTAGTGACACTCTCTTAATCAAGAACACGGAGGAGGAAACCTTATTTGTATAGTCACAAAATTACAAAATTGAAATCTCAGAGTGTAATGAGTTTTGTTTGTTAAATAATAAATATCCTAAGAACGAAGCAACCCCAAAAATATAAACAGTTAAGATTAATGCAATTTAAATACAAAATGTGAGATTTTCATAAGAAAAACGATGTGTGCAGAGAAGATAAATGGTAAAATTGTGTATAATTTTCTATTTATTTTTATTTATTTTTTTAGCATTTAAATAATGGGTTAATGATTTTTTTTGGAAAATATTTCTATTTTTATTTTCTTTCTTTGTAAGTACATACTAATACCATTTCATCCAAAACTATAACATACTTATTGTTTTGCAATAATATAACATGAAAAAATTTCGATTTATTGATTCTTCACATATTCGCCAAAAAAGGAGTTAACTTTTGATGTCTTTAACGGTGTCTTGGTATAATCAGAGAGTCTTCGTCAATGTTCTTGATTCACAGAATGTGAGTTTTTCCAATTTTGTAACTACAAAAATGAGGGGTTTAGAAAAAAAGGAATTTATACTTCATAAAGCATAAATAGTGGATTCGCTAGACCATTTGATAGATGGTTTATTCATTTTGCGAACGTACAAGTCGACGATGCATATCTGTGCATTAAAGGGTTGTATGTTCTTAGATGAATTAAAGAAATCATAGATGGTCCTTACCGACATGCGATTTTAATGGCTAGTTGGTGTAATTTGTTATTTTTTTAGCTATTTTCTACAAAATAATTTGGCTTTTTTTGGCTAAATTAGCAAATTTCTCATAAAACTATATAAATATGATTAATTTAACGCACCAACCAAGCATCTTAATTTGAAACACGCAATGAATCCTCATATCCCTATATAAACCGGCTTAATTAACAGACCATTTAAGCATCTTACCGACGAATAGTCAGTGATGAATTTAGAACCAAAATCAACGTGGTTCCTTATAGGGACGGAACACGAGCATTCCGAACAAGGGGGCCGAAACCACAACTTCAAATCATAGTTAAAAACCTAATGATTGTTACTAATTTCTTATTGTTAAAGATTTATATAAACAAATACATTTTAAGGTGGACTTTTCAACCATAGTCGACTAATTTTTTTTGTGATTCAGTCTTATAACAATAAAAAGAAAATCTTAATTATTATAGATATTATTAACCATAACTAATAAATATATAAAACTTATATAGAGATATTATATAGATATTATAAATATTATAACAATAAAAAGAAAATCTTAATATATATATATATATATATATATATATATATATATATATATATATATATATATATATATATATATATAAACAGATAATGCTATATAGAGATACAAAGAGATAAAAATAAAACTTTTTTATAGTTTCGAGGCACTTGATAAATATACAGGGACTTGAAGATTTTATGTTTCCTAAGCAAACTAGGGGTCTATATCACTAAACTAAAGTTGCCACATAAAAACAAAATGAAATTGAAACTCTATCAAAGTTCAAACGATTGTCTAAAAGAAGAGAAAAATAGGTAATCTGACTTGTGAGAGGCCGTGTGAATAAATACAAGGAGATCTATAGATCGGAGAGACTGTAGAAAACCAGAGATGTTGAAAGGAGGAATCATCAAGATGAGAACATGGATTACCTTGAGGGACGGTTTCCGGCCAGCCAATGATGGGAATGAGACGGTGACTGGAGACGGGCGTCTGATGTTAGGGTTTAGGAGTTTTTAACTTTTTTTTAGATTTGTTTGCTTAAGTTTTTGTGGGTTTAGATATATATTTTGGAGATGGTTTGTATTGTATCTGTTAGGTTTTTTTTGGATAAATAGGGTTTAGAATTTTCATCGTCCATAGTTTAGATTTAAAGGTTTGGATTATTATCTCTATTGATACAGTTTTTAATTAAATATTTAAAAAATTTATAATTTCATCGGTTTCCTCCCAATATTTCCTGATATTGTCCTCTTAAATTCTTATGTTTAAATTCAATATTTGGTATAAACTAATGAGATCTTCAGTATATTAAGGCTAAAAACCTAGGGGGCATCGTCTCCCCTGACCCCTTAAAGGTTCTGTTCTTGTTCCTTATATAAATGAAATGGAAAAAAGTATGAAAATATAGATTTCTTGGCAAAAATAAGGTGTTTTTTATGTTTTTTTATATAGAATTTTTGTATTAAAAAAGAAAAAACATAAGGCCTAGGTGAGTGTGAATAGTTAAATAGTATGTGGATAAATACGTTTTCTAGGGTTTCTGAAAATAGAATACACCTTTTAAATTGGTAATACTAGAAATCATATCGTTAAGCTTTGCTAAGACACTATTATCTCATACTCTAACTATCAGATTGTGCTAATTAACAATAGCAGAAAAGGTGCTTCAGAAATTTAAAAAGCTCATGAAATCGAGAAACCTGAAGAAGAAGATCAATGCGACGCTCGGAATTGGTACTTCCATAGATTAAACTAGTCGCTAGAAACCGGTATCTAAAATCCCCATGAATAAGATAGGAAGCTTTCTCGAAGGGGAGTCTAGTAGTCAATATTCATTTGTCTCAAAATCTCTTTTTTCAATAAAATAAAAAGATAAAGTTGAAAATAATTAATTTGTCATTTCAAAGTTCAAATTTAGTCATATCTCAAACTTTTTATCCAATTTATTACATGAAACATATCGATTTTAGTTTTTTACCAAAAAAAAAAAACATATCGAACAAAAATAAATGGCATTAATTAGATGAGTTAAGTTACCTGCATGGATTGCTTGAACAATATTTCTTTTTGAATTTGTTGTGTAAAGCGTTAAGTTCTGATTCGTTTTTGCACTGAAATCATCTCTGGCAACTTCCATGGCAATCCTAGCCTCTTTGCCTACTCGAGATGACATATCCACAATTGCACCAATAACAAATGCATCACTAGAGTTACTTCGTATAGATTTGGCATCGATTTTAACAATAAAAGGTATCTTAAACAAACAAATGGTGAAAATAACGCTAAGAGACATAAGCTTGTTTTTCATTATAGGAAAAGAAAGAATATGCCTAAAGACAATCTCACCCAACTTTCTCTTGGTACTCATTCACCATACATATAGAAAGAGATTAGAGTGAGATATAGGAAAAGCTGTGATCTAACTTAGTTATTACTGAAAGTATATGAGTATTATACTATAAGAAAAGTCAACAAAGACTATACAAATGATTTCAAGGTTTTAGCCATAACATAAAAAATATATCTTCAGTGTATTGAAGTCAACTAACTACATTTTCATTAGAGATGTGATATTTTCACTAATGTTTTAATTCATCTATTTAAAAACGATGTGCTTTGACTTTTATACCTCTTTTTTTTTTAAATAATGGGAAAGAATGATAATGAGGGTATAAAAATCAAAATAATTTGTTTTTAAGTTATCAAACACACAATGAATGGGAAAGAATGATAATGAGGGTATAAAAATCAAAATAATTTGTTTTTAAGTTATCAAAGACACAATGAAAATATTGCAAATGCATAAAAAAGCGGAAATGTTTAACATTTTATGTACAGAACATACGAGAAAGAAAATAATATTATATGCTTCTGGATGCTAAGACCCGGTTATTTTGGATGGTTTAGTGAAACTTTATGTAATTGTAGTAATAAGTAAGATGTCAACCAATAATAGTATAAAAAAAATCAAATTATAAGACTTACCTGATATGATGGAGATATATATTGTTTTATTTTTCTTTTATAAGTATGTGTAGCAACTTCATTGCACCTTCCTCGAATCACTCTTATGTAATTCATCTATGATTTATGGAATGCAAGTTTTGGTATACACTACGTAAAAAAATAACAAGTGAATGGTTTAGTTGACTTCATGATAAATAAATAAATAAATAAAAACATATTATTTTATGAGCTAATAAAAAGCAAGCTATAATAAATTTCAATTGGATGAAAATATTATTTCACTACAAGAATCCTATACCAATGACATGTGTCATCGGTGTAGCTCAACTTTTACAGATAACATGTTGTCGAAATAGAGTTGACCAAATGTCATTTATCATGTGTGTACGTAGGGTGAAAAAATAAAAGTGATTCCTGCTTTTTTGATATCTATTCCGGTGACACGTCGTCGGTATAAATTTTATAAAATAATTTTTATTTTCTATCTGCAATGTCGCAGATAAACGATAACGATGTCGTTTCTTTGACCTCTATACAGACGATAAGTCGCCGGTGTAGAGGTAGGTCAATCCATGTGGCATGTGCATCGACAACAAGTCGTTAAAATAGGTATATTATTCTCATTTTTTTTAAATGAAGCAGGAAAAAGTGAAAAGTTGTCGTTTTCATTTATCCTATACCGATGACATGTCGTCAGTATAGGGTTCCATCTTCTTCGGTGCCTTAGTCGATCTCAATCCTATTCATAGTTGCCACTTTCCACCAAAATTTTCCCTCGTCAAAACGGCGACTCCAACATATTCCAACGGTTCGGTGATTTCTTCATTATGTTGATTTCTAATGCTTTAGGGAGGTTTTGGAGGTTTTTTGGTTGAATTTTGTAGGAACATTGGGATCTTTCTGGGACCGGCCATCACCACCATTGTCGGCGACCACCCTCTGTGCAATCTTTTTTTTTATTTTTTTTTTCAAAATACATGCAATATTGTTGTATGAAAGTGATTTTGGTTGTATGAATCTGATTTTGGTTGTATGAAACCGATTCTAGGTATAAATTGTTTGTATGGAACTGATTTTGCTCATGTTTTATAATTAAAGTTCATAATTTTGGGTATAATTTGTTTGATTTTTTGTTTATATGTATTGTATGATTGTATGAAAATGGTATTAAAACAATTATAGGAAAGTGGAATTGGATGCCTAAAATGTATAATATGTAGGATTGTGTTAGTTCTTTAGATGTATTGCATGATAGTATGAAAAGGAAATTAGATTTAAATATATTATATACATGTATGATTGTGTTAGATGTTTAGGTTTATTAGTTTGAGTGTATATAATATGAATTGATAAAGTTCTTAATTGATAAGGTAAAGTGTTTGTATTTAAATGTTATTATTTGTATCGTAAAGTGATTACTTGTTAAGTTAAAGCGTTTGTGTTTACATGTATGATGTTGTACATTTATAATATTTGTTAAACAGATGACAACACATATTGTGAGGGGGCATGGAGGAGATAGCGGGGAAAGACCTCCACACAGCGGCGCACGAAAGATAGCAGTGGATTGTGAATCTTGTAAGTTACATGAAATTCTTAAGTATATTGGATATATTTTTAAAGTTCTAAATTTATAAATTTCCAATTCTATGTGTCATTGTAGCAAACCCGAAGAAAGTGCGGGTTAAAGGAAAAAGTTTGAATAGCGACAGGTAGACCTATCGGTTCGTAGAGAAAAATGGAAAAATGTTAACAAGCTTTATCTTAAGTTTTGTAGCAGAACATATACCACTCCATTATAGGTATTGGCAGCATGTTCCTCTTGAACACAAAGAAGCTATGTATTGTAATACCCAGTTTCGGAAGTACTCAGTTGTGATCTTGGAAGCCAAAGGGTAGGGGTGATTCACTCTTTTATGGGTCTCAAGTTTATTCTGAAGGTTTTAGACTTGGAGGTGTGGCTAAGAGTGTAGGGTTTCCCGCAACCTTTTCGTGAATATAAAGTTCGTCGAAAGCGGACTTAGAACAAGGAAATTATAGTATTTTGAAGTTGTTGGTAGAATTGGCGTAACATCCCAAAAATTATGGACAAAAAATTTCATTTTCAATTAAGTGAATTGCAAAACGTTAGTCACAAAATATCATTCGACCAGAGCATTTAATAAAACATGTCTCGCGTTTGTAAACCAGAACGTAAATCGTAATAATATCAGAGTACAAATCCCAGAATGTCTCATAGTGCGGAAAAACAAGAGCGTGTGTGTGATATGCCGCTACCGCGCCAGCTCCTTCCCCTTGGCTGAAGAGGTACCTGAAACAACAACTAAAAACCGTAAGCAGGAAGCTTAGTGAGTTCCCCCAACATACCGCATACCAAATAACCATATAACATACAAATATTGTCAGACATATTTGGGTGCCCGACCTACCCCTTCGGTCCTCTCGACCGGATATTGACTAGCATATCTGGGTGCTGGTCTCCCCTTCGGTCCTTTCGATCGGATACTGACTAGCATGTCTGGGTGCTGGTCTCCCCTTCGGTCCTTTCGACCGGATACTGACTAGCATATCTGGGTGTTGGTCTCCCCTTCAGTCCTTTCGACCGGATACTGACTAGCATATCTGGGTGCTGGTCTCCCCTTCGGTCCTTTCGACCGGATACTAAGGACTATTTCACCCCCTACCACTACCACATAACACGTATCACATAATCTATTTAGCATGGCTGGGCATGACGGCCCCTTCGGCCCTATCGATCGGTAACCTAGGGACTATCTCCCCTATTATCGCTAGCACATAGCATCATATCGTACAAACACATAAACATAACACAGGTAGTGGCAACCCTAGATGAATATCACAGAGACAATCATCTAATCATGCAATTCCTACTAGTGGGCCGGCATTGTGGCCTTAGACCCACCGCTACCAGAAGGTAACTCACCTCGAAGTAGCTGCTGAAAGTCTGCTTGCTGAGCGCCTGACTGCTGAACCGGAACTCCCCAGCTACAATTTCCATAAACACTAAGTCAGATACTAATAACTAATCTTAGGGTTTAAATGACTATTTACCCCCCCCCCCGCGTGTCAAAGTCAACATCCTGGTCAAAGTCAACATCCTGGGTGGCCGGACTTGCCGAGTTGGCTCGCCAACTCGCCGAGTCCCTTCCATCTGTTCTATTTCTACGCCCGTTCTACTCATCGAGCTTAGCGAAGACTCAACGCGTTCTTCTTCGATACACACATACTAAGTCCAAGTTCATCCGACTCGCCGAGTTGAAGAACAACTCGTCGAGTCTAAGGCAATCTTCATCGGACTCGCAGAGTTGCTCATCCAACTCGCCGAGTCCACGGCTATCTTCATAGGACTCGTCGAGTCCAAAGTTCTACTCACCGAGTTCATTCAGTCCTTTTTCTATACAGACCTGATTTAAGCCATGCAGCGGCTCCAAACCACAGATCTAGACTTCTAGGGCATGCTTATCACGTAAAGTTGCAACCTTTACGTGCATGCATAGCTTTAGGAGCTTGAAATGTCCAAACCAAGCTCTTAATGGGGTTTTAAGCTCAAGAGGGACCTTAATCACCAATATGACTGAAACTTAACACTTCAAGAAGGTAAGGAGAGTCCAGATCTGAAGTATAACCCAACCATAAGGTTTCTCTTCAAGGATTTGGGGTTTTAGGGCTTAAAAGCAACAACTTAGGGACACACAAGATCTAATAGATCAATAACCAAAATGGAAACTTTATTACCAAAATGGATGACCACAAATGAAGGTGTTCTGGATCTAATTCCCCTTCCTTGACCTCTTCAACCTCTCCCTTCTTCCACTTGCTCCAAAGTGCACCAAAAGTCCCTTCACAAGGCAACAATCACTCAAGCTTACCAATGGAGGCTAGGGTTTCGATAAGGAATGCTCTAAGGGTGATGGAGGCTGAGATGGGGCTATAAGGACGTTTAAATAGGGTGCAAACCATAAGGATTAGGGTCTCCTCCTGATTGGCCTACTCGTCGAGTCTAGGCGTGGACTCGCCGAGTAGATCACTTAAAGCCCGCATCCAACTCGACATCTACTCGGCAAGTTAGGGCTACAACTCGACGAGTAGCTCTTCCAAAAGAAACATTTAATCAAAATAATTACATACTAGGAGTGGGGCGTTACAATTGGTCCTTAAATGGAAATGTTTGGCAACTAAGTACCATGCATGCAAGGTGGTAGGCGTGAGGGTACACCCAGCGTAAGCTGGGTTATGCCCAGCGTATGAGGATGAATGGATGCAGGTGCAGAGAGGCGTATGCCCAGCATACACGCAGAGTCCTTA